CTTCCTCATTCCTTGTATGATCTTGTGGTCCATTTGGACAGAAAGGAATAGTGCAAAGCAAAGGGGTATTACTTTTATGTGCTCCCACGCTGTTTTGCAGGTTAGCGACACTTATCTCTCCTCACAACCTTGGGCAGACTCAAACCCAGGGACTGGACAAGCTGCACGCCGCCACATCGCCTCATACTATCCCCGTTGCCACCCGTCCAGTACCCACGCCCCAGAGCCGTTGTTTGGCTGAGACCCGATTCCTCTTGGGTTAAGCTAAATACTGACGGATCTTACAACTGGCTTACCGGAGCCGCCGGAGGAGGGGGCCTGATTAGGGACCACAGTGGAGATCTCATTACCGCTTTCCACGCCCTTTTCAGGCCACCTCGAGTTATGATGCAGAGATCCAGACGCTTCAGATCGGTCTTCAGATCGCAACCTCTATCTCTTCTCACATTTGGATAGTGCTGGATGCCCCCGCTGTCGTCAATCTCTTAACATCAGGCCACCAGGGTTCATGGCAGATTCAACACCCACTCATGCGCATTATATCCACACTCCAGTCGGTCCGCTATCGGATATCGCATATCTTCTGCGAGGGGAACTGACCTACTGACTTCTTAGCTTGCATCGGTATCTCCACCTCAGAGGCGCATCTTTCAGTCGGACAACACTCCTCTCTGCCTCCACACGATTATACAGATGAATCAACTTGGATATCCATCTTTCAGATTTGGATAGTTATTTTGTTTTTTTATGCTTTAGTCCACTTGTGGCGCAGATTGTTTTCCTGGGCACATGTTAGTCCAGTTTTCAGATTTTTTTCACTTTGACCGTTGTTTTTCTTTTTCTTTCTCTTTCCTTTGCTTTCTCTCTTGTTTCTGGCCTGTTTGTTTGTGCTTTCTGTATGAACTTGTTGACATGTGATTCTCCAGCCCATCTTGGGCTGTTAATTTTACATACAGGTTGGGAGTTCTGCCTTAACCCCTACCTTTTTGGGGTGTTCCTTAAAAAAAATCTACATTAGTGCCTGTGAGAATGCACATTAGCGTAACAGTGTATTATGTGCGACGCAAATATCCCTAAGTGAAAAATCAAAAGTACACATAATTACAGTAATGTCATCACCCCTTTGACCAAAGTTGGTGCCTTTGACCATGTCTTGAGCGTTGATATATTACATGTGACCTACAATCTATTCTTATTTCTTTCAATATCACTCATTCTGATTTGATCTTACTTTTATATATATCTTGAGTTTTTTGAGCTAAATATTAGTTTCAGGTAATTTATTATATGAATTTCTAATGTTTTTGAAGTAGATATAATTATATCTGGCTTTTCATTCATGTCCCTTTAAGAATTTTTAAAATTGTAGAACATTTTACTAATTTAATATTAAGTAAAAATGAATATTCATTTTTTAAATTGATTGTAATTATATATTTCGAACACAAAAGAATATAACTAATATAAAATTTCAAGTAGGCTTCTCACGTTGCATCAAAATAATATTATTTCTGTAATCACTAATCACACAAGCTAGTGTCATCTCCCCGGACCCCACAGCCTTGGACCACAGACACTGACACAAGACAAGAGGCAAAATTTCCTCCACCAAGCAGCTGCTAATCAATGTTGCCAAATAATTATTGGAACGCTTTCTCGCTTATATTGTGAAGATAATAGCTTAGTTCATGATTTTTAAGAACCCAAATAATTTGTAAAATAGCCCCTTCCGCCCCTCGTGTGTCGCATGCACAAACGTCCCATTATTTTAATCCCACTTCTGGGATTGACCAGTCCAGTTTGCTAGAATGAATCGATTGCTATCGGTCAAAACCTTTAAATATAATGGGTCTATATAAGTTATTATTAATTAGTTTAAATATTTGAATATTTTAAATTGATTGAATATTTCATTAACAAAGTTTTATATATAAATTTTCTTATAAAAAATATTACATATGTTTAAAGATATTAATAAATTAAATATTGGTTCAACCTGTGGTCGGACCAGTGAACCATTTAAACCAGTAGTTTCACCAATTTGATTTTTAGAACCTTGATAAAAACAACGAAGAGTTATCAGTAACACACCGCCGTGTGTTAAACGGGGAAGTTGTTTTTAATTGGCTATTTACTAAGTGTAATTAAAATCTAAGTTAATATGCATTCCGAAAAAAAATATTGCATTTCTTATGCATATGAGTCGAGCCTATCTCATTCATATGTCACGTTTTTTTAATAAAATTACACACTTACAACATAAAATATCATACTTTTATTTATATTATTTTTTCAAAATATAACATTAAAATTTAATAGGAATGACTTTATTNCACGATCCTACTGACTAAAACTTACTGCAACAAACTTCACACGATATGGCCATCCACAACCACATTTTATGTATGCTAAATGTCGATCTAGCTTAACTCATAAATAATGATGTCGAAGAGTAGCACCCTGAAACGAGATTACATCGATGGTGCCCATCAATTCGGCATCCCCGGTTTCCTAAAGCAACATCGACACCTCATGCATCAAGAGACACATCGCTAGATCAGCATCATCAAACTGGCATCCCACGCATCACGGCTAATATATCGATTCCAATCACAATACAAGACTTCTTTTACATCAATCTCGTCCCATCGAACTTGATTCACGTCGGTTTTGCCATTCAATGTGAAATGGGTTGCCTCCTAAAACTGGCTCACACCGCGCAGTATGAAAACGATTACTGACTGTAAACCGGTACCTGCCTCATCCCCAGAAAGATAGACTGGCACTAGTCACCTTGCATGGATCAGACCCCCTAGGCCTTCGACACGTGTCCAATGGTTCATAAGAAGTTAGGATAATTTTTACACCAACTTGTACATGAAAAATCATAGAGAATCATCGAAAAATACCTCAAGCTATCAAGAGCATAGTAAAAATATGCAAACTTATTCAAACAAGAATTAATTAATTACGAATACATTTATTTCACCGTGTGTTATTTCTATCATAGGTCAACACCACACATCCTTAGAGTAACTCGTTCAATTTCTTTTATCCCTACTGATATAACACCCAGAACAATTCGGTGAAATGACCTGAGTGGTTAGCTTGGTTGCAGCTGATACAAACCTCAACTCAATGTTAGTGCTTGACCTCATGAGAGAACTCAATTTAGTAGCTTAGTGTACGAGTCGACCTGATCGGAGGATTGAGAGGTTGAGCTCCTTGTAGAGCTCGAATAGATGAAGGGATGTTACGACATGGAGGTCGTGTAAGTCAGGGTCATGGTTTTGACCTAGCAACCGTCTGAGGCGTATAGGTCACAAGGTCGTTGTGACGATCTAAGGACCTAAGAGTCGTACTGTGAGAGGTAACAAAATCCTAGTAAGGATGGTAAGTGTATCTCGTTAAGGAGTATAAGATTTCAGAGACGTGGTAAGTTAGGAAAGTAGATAAAGTTGGATCTTTTTCCTAGTATGGACCCTACCTGAGCAGGACGATAACCCTAGTATATAAAGGGTTACCAGGTTATATTTTTATATAACGTGCATTACGCTTTAGCGAAAATAGGGCCTAAGCGTCGTACCTCCAGTCGATGGTCCTTGCGCATGGCTGCACGCATCATCTTTGGTCTCTCCAACCTAATTTTAGCAATCAAATCGGGCTTTAAGCCCCCAATAAACTCCTTTACTAATGCCACTTCCGGCCAATTGCAAGCACGACTCACGATTCGCTCTAACTCCTTCTGGTACTCACGTAATCAATTCCTTTTCAAACAAATTCCAGCAAATCCGGGTGTCCTTTTTTTGTAACCCTTGACAGCCAACCATTGCCACCATATGTTTGCCTCCCCATCGAGGTAGTAGGCAACAAATTTTATCCTTTACACTTTCGGTATTTTGTTGATCTCGAAATACTGATTGGTGTCGGGTCGGTCCCATTAAACATTGCAGAATCAATTTTGGCGTCTCGCTTCTGCTCCTTTCCTAGTGATTCGAGCCCGTGAACGGTTATCCTCTTCCTCCGTGAACTCATTATAAAACTCGAGCTCCTTTTTCTGAATCGATTGATTCGTTCGATGACTGATCCATGTTGTCGCCCCTCTGTGCTTGTCGTCCGACGGTTTGGAGCAACATTTGCTCGATCCTGGCCACCACTTGATTGGTTGATTGCACGTCATCGCTGATAGAACGTACACTCCCTTGCAAGCAATCAATCCTCTCCTTATTCGACATGATGATACACGATCGATACTCGCAATGAAAGCACCAATGATGAAGATCGTGTATCGATAGATTCAAATTTGTGAAAACTTGCGCCGTTGGCCGTCGGTTAACATGAGAATTGTGCTCGAACGCGAGCGGCATAAGTTTTTCCAAATGAAGAATAAAAGAGCTTTAAAGAACGAAAAATACGAAAATTACTAACAAAAGTCCTAATTAAGAAACATAAATTAACAAAGTATAGTTAGTAAACAATGAAACTGCACACACTCCCCAGGTTCTCTCCGTGATGTCGCAGTACCGCGAGACCTGGAATAACTGCGACCTCTGTTGTCCCGTGGCGGGAGACGCGTGTAGGGTGTGCAAACTCAATCTCACATCAAAAAATTAAAGGTTCCAAGTCCAATATATAAGTTTGGTGGCTACTCTTTCTATTGCCAATTGATTTTAGAATGGAATCCCATTTGGACTTGTATGTTGGGCTTGATGGAGAACTGGGCTTGAGTTGTCGGTCCTAACAACGCGACGCCTTGTTGCTCGCGTGGTCGCCCGAGCTGTCTTCAGCCCGCATCCTTCTTGTTGTGTGCTCGTCGGCTGCGTGGTCTTCGATGGCGCACTTGCACCCGGTTGCTCCGCCTCTTTAATACGAGCACGTCAAATTCTATTACAAACGTTCTTGAGCATCCGTCCTTCGTCCGCATCACTATCCAACAACACTTCATAAATAAACACCACGGGCCACGGGACATGACCATATATATCCAAAACCACACATCCCTAGACCCACCGTTTAATTTCTTAATTATCCCCACACTGTTGATACCTTTGCAAGCAAATTAACCCATTACACATTTACACAATTAACACACATGAGAAGTTAATTAACCAATATATGAACTACGTTTTGTCACTGTCCTTAGCCCCTTCCTTATATATATATTCGCTAGCCCCCCACCAAGCATAAACCCCGTGTACCAAACGCCTAATTGGGAAAAAAAAATTAAAAATAAAAATAAAAAATGGAGTGGACTCTCAACTCACTCAATCCACTCACCATCTCTCTCCTAACCGGCCTCTTCCTCCTCGCCGTAACCCTCCTCCGGCCAAAACCCCCGAGCAAGACACCCCCCGGCCCCAAGGGCATCCCCATCCTCGGTAATCTCCACCAGCTGGGCGACCTCCCCCACGCCACCATGCACCGCTGGCGCTCGGCCCACGGCCCCGTCATCTGGCTCAAGCTCGGCTCCGTCTACACCATGGTCGTCCAGAGCTCGTCCGCTGCCTCCGAGCTCTTCAAGAAGCACGACCTCCCCTTCGCCGACCGCAAGGTCCCCGACGTCCTCACCGCCTACGACTTCAACGCCGGCACCCTCGGCATGAACCAGTTCGGCGGCCACTGGCGCGTCCTCCGCCGCCTCTGCTCCATGGAGTTCCTCGTCAACAAGCGCATGAACGAGACCTCCGACCTCCGACACCGCATCCGCGACAACATGGAGCGATGGATCGTCGAGGAGTCGGCCGCTAACCGGGCCAAGGGAGGCACGGGGGCCGTCCAGCTCAGCAGGTTCCTCTTCCTGATGGCCTTCAATCTCGTCGGGAACTTGATGCTGTCGAGGGACTTGCTGGATGCCAAGGACCCGGAGTCGAGGCAGTTCTTTGACTGCATGAACCGGGTGCTCGAGCTGGCTGGGACGCCTAATATAGCCGATTATCTGTCGTGGCTCAAGTGGATGGACCCGGCCGGGATGAAGCGGGAGATGAAGAGGAATTTGAAGATTACGATGAGGATTGCGTCGAGGTTTATACAGGAGAGGCTGGATGAGCGCAAGGCAGGGAAGATTCGGGAGAAGAAGGATTTCCTTGACGTGCTGCTCGAGTACGAGGGGGATGGAAAGGATGGGCCAGATAGGATGTCTGAGAAGAATATCAATATCGTCATCACGGTGAGTCTTCTTATATAGAAAAAATTTATTTCAATAGAGTAGTGCAATTGAGAAAGACGAAGAGTAGTGTAATTGAGAAAGACGATTGAGTGCCGTTTCTTCTACCCTAATCAATGCATATCGATCGGGATTTAGCAAAAGGAGAATTTAATCAAAAATCGTTAGCACAATTCACCGTTAATCATTCATCAATACTGTCAAAATCAGGAAATGTTCTTTGCGGGATCTGAGACGACGAGCATCAGCATCGAGTGGGGGTTCGCGGAGCTCCTTCGAAGCCCAGCCACATTCAAGAAGGTCCGGGAGGAGCTAGACCGGATCGTGGGCGTTGACCGGCGGGTTGAGGAGAAAGACATCGAGAATATGCCTTACCTGCAAGCGGTCGTTAAGGAGGCCCTCCGCCTCCACCCAGTGCTGCCCCTGCTACTCCCGAGGAACACGCAGGAAGCCACCGACTATATGGGCTACCACATCCCTAAGGGCACCCAGGTGTTCGTCAACGCGTGGTCCATAGGGCGTGACCCGGAGGTCTGGCCCGACCCGCTCGAGTTCAGGCCCGAGAGGTTCCTCGGATCCAACATCGAGTACAAGGGGCAGCACTTTGAGTTGATCCCGTTCGGGTCGGGCCGGAGGATCTGCGTTGGGTTCCCGCTGGCCCACCGCACGGTCCACCTGGCGATCGCAACTCTGGTTCAGTCGTTTGATTGGGATCTCGGGCCGGGCGTCAAGCCCGGGGATATCGACAGGGAGGAGAGGCTTGGGCTGACCCTGAGGAAGAAGAATCCCCTGTTTGTGATACCGACCAAGCGCATAAATTGTTGAATCAAAGGATAAATTTTAGACATGTGATTGTCCTGGGAACTGCGATTTTATGTGGTATTGTCGTGTTTTATGTATTTTCATAATTTTATTATACTTATGCATTGTGTCATCTTTTTTTTTTTTTTTNCTGATTTTAGTTCTTCGCCAGGTTATTATTATCTTGGTTAAAATTTTACTCATAATTTAAATATTCTCTTTTACTGCCCGTGTCAGATAACACGATATAATTTTGACCAATTAAACATCACAAGTCAAATAACACTGGCTAATACTTGTGATTTTCTACAAACAATTATTTTGTACTTAGAGCATCTCCAATGCATAAATGTTATTATCACATAAATTTTGACAAATGTCAATTATTTAGATGAATTGTGAACCACATAAGATATGTGTTAAGTTCACAACTTTCAATCTAAAAAATTATTTATAATGTACAATGTGATCATACATAATATTGTCTACTTGGCAAAAATAAAAAAAAAAAATTATAAATAAGAAATAAAAAAATTAAATAATTTTGAAAATTATAGTAATATTTCCCTCTCATCTTTCAATTGGTTGATTGGAACGTGAAAGAGAATGTTGATGAACCACATTTTTCTCTACATTGTGGACATTAATTATGTCCACCTCATCACTATATTTTTTATTACATTGTGCTTTGTATGATTAAAAGTGGAGACATTGCTAAATTTGTTAATATAAAGTGTAATTTACTACAACTGTATTTCACCATTGGAGATGTTCTTATACAATGAAACATTGTAATTTTATTTATTATATATATTAAATGATGATATTTAAGTATGAAAATTAATAGAATAGTTATATAGAATTGTACATTCCGTTTCATTAGTTGTACTTCTATTTTTATGTAAAAGTGTCAATAGATGTTTGACAACTCTTTTTGTAATGTGCAAGTATAAAAAAGTTTCATGTAGCCTTAAAACTCATTCACTATTCATGTATTCTGAATATAGCTGCAACCCTTATTTTTCTCGTTGAGTAGCTGGCGGCGGTCACAAGGAGCCGGGAGTGGTCTTATCTATATTTTATGTTTTTAAACGCTTCCGCAAGACGTTTTCAAACTTATATTGTTTGGATTTTATGGAAATTGCACTACGGTTATGAATGGTACTAGTGTATATCCCGTGCGATGCACGGAAGAGTTCATATTTTAAATATTTTTTAGACTTTATTTTAAATATAATTATTTACATTTTTCATATATCGTCTATTATGAAAATAAAATAAATACACTCAATGAAAAATATATATTACTAAATACTTTTCTTTATACAATATTTTTTATTTAAGGAATATTATTAAACCTTACGGTTTTGATTTGTTTTTTCAAATCAATAATCCAAAATATATGATTGTTAACGTATAAAAAATAATGGAAATAATCCAGACTTTAAAGTAAAGCTATTTTTTATTATTTTACAAATAAAAATCTTTCAATTTTTTTTTAATTTAAAAAAAATTTGGCAAGTTTGATAATGAGTTAAATCAAGTTATACAAATGATTAAATAGTTAAAATTTTATATTAATTATATTTTAAGAAATCCGATTATATAAAAATGGGTAAAAAATATTATACTAATTAGTTTGTTAGGATTATGATTATATGAAAGTTAAAATAAAATGAAATGTAACCAAAAAATTTGTTCGTGGTCTTTTCCTTTAAATGTTTGAATTTAAAAATCTAGTAACCAAATTTACATTATATCACGTAAGGAAAAAAAATAAATAATAAATATTTATTAAAGAGATAAATCAATAATATTTATCACTTAGATAATAAATAATAAATATTTACATGTAAAAAAATAAATAATAATATATTTAAAAATATAAGTCAGAATTTCAAATAAAGTAAAAGGAGGCAAGGGCGTATCCAAGTACAGACCAGTGTGGGCCTCGGCCCACACTGAAAAAATAAATCCATGGCTTAGGTACCCTTAAGACGGCTTAATACATCATTAATTATCTTTTATTGTACCAAAAAAAAAATACATCATTAATAAAAAACAATAATAAAAATTATAAATTGCTTGCTGCGAAGAAGAAAGATAGGGAAATAATGGAGAAATAAAATAGAAAATAATGGAGAAATAAATTATTATTTTTATTGATTTTAGTGAAAGTGGATCTACCCCTTCATTTTATTAGGTTTAAAAAAAAACTAAACACTTGTTTGTATTTTTTTAGTATTCTTGTAGTCAATTAATTTTTTTAATGATCTAAAATACTAATATCATATATTTTAGTATGCTTGTGATTGATAACTCAAATTGTAGGGCCCTTGAAAGTTTGTTATATTATATAAAGTATTTTATGCACTAATTATAATATAACTTTTATATCAAATTATGAAGAAACATTTTTTAAAAATGTCTTGACAAAAAAGTACATGTGAAAATATCTGATTAGCTAGGTTCAGTCTAAATATATCTCTAGTGAATTCAAATACTTTTGGGCTGAAAGAAAATGAAATAAAAAATTCAAGGATGTTATTATAGAGCGATGTCATGATATGAAATTTCATAAGAATGACTATAAAGATGTATTTTTTTACTTATATTTTTTTATTATGTATTATATATTCTTTTAAGAAAATTATGCCCTCACTCACTTTATGACCTAGATCCGCCTTTGAAAGGAGGGATAACTCATTTTTTAAAAAAAGTTTCTAAATATTTAATATATTGATAAGTATCTCCATAAGAATAAACATACCATTTTAAATTTAAAAAAATTGGCAAGTTTGTTAGAGAGATAAATCCGGTTAGACAAATGATTAATTTGTTAAGATATTATATTAATTGTATCATAAAAAATCGGTTAGATAATGTAGATAAAAAAAATATAATACTAATTAGTTTGTTAGAAATGTGATAATGAAAACCAAGATAAAATGAAATTTACCCAAAAAAATTGTTTGGAATCTTTTCCTTTAAATGTTTGAATTTACAAATTTAATACCGAAATTCTATTATATCACATAAGGAAAAAAATAAATAATGAATGTTTATTAATATATTAAAATATGTAATTTTGAATTTCATATAAAGTAAAAGGTATGCTTATTCAAATTTATTTTTAAAATAAAAGTTATGATAAACATTTATTGATTCTTTTTCAAATATATTAATAAAATAAAAATATAAATCTAAACAAATTTTGAAACAACCAAAAAAATTGGATTGATTGGCATAAAAAAAGGAAGTGAAATCGAATTTGAATGCTAAAATCGAAACACCTTACCAAATTGAATGCTAAAAGATTTGATTTGATTGGTTACCTAATTGCATGGGCTGAAAAAATTAAAAAAAAAAAATTACAAATTGAAGAAGCGGGAAAACACTATATTGAAGCGGGAAAACGAAATGATTTTTTTCCTATTGTTCAAATAATTTTTCTTCTCCGTATTATATAGTAATAGATTTCAAGAATGTTTATGAATGAGGATTTTATTATGTGTCGAGATTGTGAAAAAGAAAGTTTGGAAAAATGAATTGCCTAAGAGCACGTTTGGTAGCCCGGATGAGACTAGATTGGGCCTCCAATCTACCACTTATCTGGTGTTTGTTTACCAAGATACTGGCCCGCTAGATAAGACAAGGCCCGCGATGCACAGTACATTTGTCTTGGAAATCAGAGATTATTTGGTCAGGGCCAGGGGGGTCAGATTATTTATGTCCGCACAGTATTCAATAATGTAATTTACAAATCTATCCCTAAAAGTAAATATTGATGACTATTTTAACCTCGATCAAAGCGAAAATTACTCTGAATGCCATTCACCTAAAATTAAAAACCCACCTTGGCAGAGACGGAAAATCTCGCCACCGCGGCCGCCGACATTGGGCAGAGACTGGAACGAGGTCGGCAGCGTCGGCCGAATCTGGGACAGTGTCGGCAACGTTGGGCGGAAGTCGGTGAGAGAAGTTGCAGAAGGATGAAGTAATGGCTGGTGGGGCATGAAATTTTGTTGGAGATGAGAGCGGTGGATCTGGGTGCGATGAAGTCGACTTTGTGCACATGAAATTCATGAAAATATTTTAAATTCTTACCTCCCCAGAATTAGAGAAATCACAATGAATTTTGTTTATGATTCCAAATTTTTTTCTAGGATTTGTTCGTGTTAAGATTTCAAGTAAAATCATTGCCACGAGAATTAACCGCATTTTTCACTGTAGAAAGTACTAGAAACCACAAATCAAGAATCAAGAGTAATAATACCACCTTGACTCTTAGCGGAATTGATGGCCCGCGGAGATGGTGAGAAAAGTTGCAGGAAGCATATTAGGAAGATATTTCATTCCCACCACTAAGTTATGAAGGAAAAAAATAATATACTTAATATTGGGACAAAATTGTAAATGTCCATCTAATCCTATTCTTTGTCTATGGAAACAAACATATAAAACATATTATGAAGATAATCTTGTCTTCAGTAAATCAAGCATAACAAACACAAGTATAAAATTGTCTCTACACCCCAATCTTGAACACCTAGATAAAAATTATTTAATCCGATCTTCTTAAACAAACGTGCAATAAGAGTCCAAGAGGATGACTTAGCTCAGATGCCTTATCTTCAAGCAACTGTGAAGGAAATACTGCGATTACACCCAACTGTCCAGATGCTACTTCCGAGGAAGTCGATGGAGGATACAGAGTTGATGGGCTACTTTGTGCCGAAGGGGATACAAATACTTGTGAACGCATGGGCAATCCATAGGGACCCGGCAGTGTGGCCTGACCCACTGTCCTTTAAGCCCGAGAGGTTTTCGGACTCTGATGTGGACTTCAGGGGCCAGCACTTTCATCTGATCCCGTTTGGTTCGGGCCGACGGAGCTGTATTGGCCTTAATCTGGGCCACAGAATGGTGGGCCTGACTGTGGCCAGTTTGTTGCAAGAGTTTGACTGGAAGCTTGCGGAGCCAGATGAGCTAGATATGAGGGAAATGGTGCGCTTGACCTTGCGAAAGAAGGTGCCCTTGAAAGTAATCCCCTGTGTACGAGGATAATGCTAAATCGTCTCATTGGTGTAATTGGCAAAAGGTAATCCCCTGTGTAGTTGGCAAGTTAAATCGGCTAATTAATGTGTAGTTGGCAAGTTTGGTGGTGTACCAGAATTCCTGTCTTACATTGTAAACCCAATTTAAAGGGCCATAAAATATTTAGTAATATGTGGTGTCATTAAATGCCATGTAATGTATACTTCACTTCATTTTGTTATAACGTATAAAGAGGCCCGATACGGGCCAAGTCATGCGGCTCTGGCTTGGGTGTGTCAACACTTTCATGGTCAATAATACAAAGCACCCGCCGAGCTCTTCAAGAAATGCGATCTCCAATTTTCTTGCCGGAAAATGCCTGGCTTGCTCATGGCCATTGGGTACAACTGGGAATCTGTGGTCACGGGGTCTACTACTGGCGGAAGGTATATGTCGTATTTGTACTTTATATGATTTTAGAATTTGCAACTTAATAGTATTTTTGCTTAATAAAATGTGATATGAACTTCATAATTTGTAATCTCCAAAAGATCACGACCCGCGTGTGTGTTTTTGTGAATGATTGTATGGTCGAAATGTTCGATAACTTACTAGTTATGAAAGTTTGTGAAATCTGCATATGTTGTTTCACTTTACGTGTCACATGATGATATCTGATATGAATAAAACGGATGGTATATTTTTCATTCACATTCCCTTTGGCATCTTAATTCACAACGAAGGATTGACATTATGTTGATCTGATTGTTGCCCATAGGCGATCGACAGACCTATCCTTCGGGCTTTTGGTTGATCCAGTAAAGGTCCGGTTGTATTATTGGGCTCGCTTGGTCATCTGGAACTTCATCGTTAATGGGGGCTTACTTGGGGTATGTTCACAACATATGCAACAACATAAAATGGGGAATGGCTGAAGTACTCCACCACCCAAACTCGGTGAAAAAGGCCCATAGCTGGAGAGTTCAAGAGGATGGCCTGACCCAGATTCCATATTTACAGGCAACCTTGAAGGAATAATTACATTGATTACACACCAAATGATACTCCCAAGTCCCAAGCAGTACAAAAAACTCTGTTTCTACAATACTATGTTTTTAGCATGTCATGGCAATCAGATATTATATGTATAGTGATGATGCAATAACATATGTAGCACTAAATATATCAATTACACAGGTACACTGCCAAATAGCACAAAAATATGGAGCAGTACATTTATGTGTGTATGAATATATATAATTATATATATACATACAAATATGTATGTGCTTAGTCTGAATGACAAACAATTTATTTACTTCAACAATTTATGCGCTTAGTCGGGATCACAAACAGTGGATTCTTCTTCCTAAGTGTCAACCCCAACCGTTCCTCCCTGTCAATGTCCTCGGGCTTGATGCCTGGCCCGAGATCCCAATCGAACGACTGAACCAGGGTTGCCATTGCCAGGTGGACCGTCCGTCGGGCCAGCTGGTACCCGACGCAGATCCTCCGGCCCGACCCAAAAGGAATCAACTCAAAGTGCTGCCCATTGTACTCAATGTTGGACCCCAGGAACCTCTCGGGCCTGAACTCGAGTGGGTCGGGCCAGACCTCCGGGTCGCGCCCAATGGCCCACACATTGACAAACACCTGAGTGCCTTTAGGGATATGGTAGCCCATGTAGTTGGTGTCCTCTTTGGTATTCCTGGGGAGAAGCAGTGGCGCCGCTGGGTGGAGGCGGAAGGCCTCCTTAACGACTGCTTGCAGGTAAGGCATGTTCTCGATATCCTTCTCCTCGACCCGCCGATCCACGCCCACGACCCGGTCCAGCTCTTCCCGGACCTTCTTGAACGTGTGCGGGCTTCTCAGGAGCTCCGCTAATCCCCACTCGATACTGATGCTTGTGGTCTCGGATCCCGCTGACAACATTTCCTGATCATTTTCACCATCATCGATATGATATTATTATGCACGTTTATCTTAGCGACACGTTTTACATGTTGATAAAAAGGACCACACATTCCTAGGAAAGCAACAACCGACTCACTCACGTGATCAGGAGGGACCATTACACTCACCGTGAGAACGATGTTGATATTCTTCTCGGTAATCCTATCTGGCCTGTCCTTCTCGTCCGCCTCGTACTCGAGCAGAACATCCAGAAAATCCTTCCTATCCCGGACTTTCCCCGCCTTGCGCTCGTCCAGCCTCTCCTGGATGAACCTGGATGTTATTCGCATCACGACAATCATATGCCTCTTCATCTCCCGTTTCATTCGGGCCGGGTCCATCCACTTCAGCCACGGCAAGTAGTCGGCTATGTTGGGTGTCCCCTGAAGCTCCAACCCCCGGTTCACGCAGTCGAAGAACTGCCTCAACTCGGGATCCTTGGCATCTAGCAGGTCCCTCGACAGCATCATATTCCCCATTAAGTTAAACGCCATCAGGAACAGAAACCGGCTGAGCTGGACAGCCCCCGTCCCTCCGCGGGCAGACTCCTCGAGGATCCACCGCTCCATTTCGTGGCAGAGGCGGTGTCGGAGGCCGGCGGTCTCGTTCACGCGCCTGCTGACGAGGAACTCCGCGGAGCAGAGGCGGCGTAGGGCCCGCCAGTAGGGCCCGAGCTGGCTCATGCTGAGGGACCCGCTGCTGAAGTCGAAGGCGGTGATCACGTCGGGGACCTTGCGATCGGCGAAGGCGAGGTCGTGCTTCTTGAATAGCTCTGCAGCGGCTGTCGAGCTCTGGACGACCATTGTCTCGACGGAGCCGAGCTTGAGCCAGAGGACGGGGCCGTGGGGCCCCCGCCAACGGTGCATGGACTGGTGGGGAAGGTCGCCCAGCTGGAGGAGGTTACCGAGGATGGGGATGCCCCTGGGCCCGGGAGGTGTCTTGCCGGCGGGCTTGGGGCGGAGGAAGAGTAGGCCGAGGAGGAGGAGGCATGCGAGGAGGGAGAGGCTGGAGAGCGGGTTGATCGAGTTCATGGGCCAATCCATTTTTAGTTTTTGTCTCTATGTTGTGATTGTTGGGTGCCTAACTGCCTATTAAATTATTAGCTTAGATATTTTGAGGGTAGACCTATTGAACTATTAGCTAAGATATTTTGAGGGCAACTTTATGTAACGAGTGGACTAAGAAAACAAAGTATCTTTTCTCTGGTTGTTTTCATAATAATGTGACATAAAATAAATGCAGACAAGAAAGAAAACAATAGGTCTAATGGCGACCGCAAAGCTCAAAATAAATGATCGAGAAAAGCCTAATTAATTTGGTTAAGTGGGGGCGACTGTTTGATAACAATAAATTCAAGAGTTTATGCACTAATAAAAAGTTCAAATTGCAAAATATATTCAATAATTTAGAATAGGAGACAATTTTGTCTAATAAATTTTATGACTGTACAAAAAATCTATTAACTACACAAATTACGA